CGGCGGTTGGCGGTCGTCCCCCTCGCTGTCCCAGAGCCCCGCGCAGCCCAGCCCGGACTGAGGCGGCATCAAGCACCGCTCCATGGCTGGGCCTGGGGGTGCCGCGGCCTTCGACAAGGCAGCAGAAGGAAGGTGGGGAAAGTAACGTTGGCATTTTCCCTTTGGGTTTTGGTCCATTTTCCGAAGGAAAGGAGAGTGACAGTGTCATGTAGGCCAGGGGTCTGTGGAGGTAACGTTCCTAGCTGTTGGCCGGTGCCAAACAACGTGAATATACGTGACGGGATAGGACAGGCTGCGGTTCGGGCATCCACCGCATCGTTCCCACTACCTGCCAGTCCTGTTGCAAATTAAACACAGAAGCCCAAAATGCTCCGCAGAAAGCGATTATAGGCAAAAATAACAGAAACCCCGAAGGCAATTCAGTTAAAAGGGCAATAGGCCATGAAACTTCGGTCTAGCAAATGGGACTTCACTACTTCCAGTGATCAGAAACTGTATGTTGTAATGTAGTTTGTTTTCCCCATATAGATACTACAAAACTTCAAAGGATAACTGAGGGAAAATGCTGTTTGAAGCTGATTTCTCCTGAAATGCAGGTTATTGTTTCCACTTCTGTTGATAGCTTCTGGCTGTCTCTCTTACAAAAAGGGATACAATACCAAAATGCTGCGAGAGTGCTTTTAAAATAATCTTTAGCTGCATTCCCAGCTTTTTTTTTTTTCTTTCTCTCTTTTTTTTTTTTTTTTTCAGATGATTATCATCGTTCCATTTCTGGCAGTGCAATCTGTTTCTGTAGCAACAGGAACAGAGGCAACGGTCAAAACAGAAGAGTAATGCTCGTGGATTTGTGTGGTTAAACCTGTGGGCTCCGCATGATGTTTTCCAACAGTCCCAACTGACTTTAAGTGCCAAAAAACTCCTAAAACTCATCCTGATTCATTTTGCGTAGATGATGCAGCCTAAGAAGTCTACAGGAAAGTAGACTTTTTGTAAAGCGTCAGTGAATTATTACTTGATTTAACAGGCAGAGTGAAGAACAGCCTATGAAAGCAACGATACCCTTCAGCAAAGGCAATTAACACCGGGCCGCGTTGCTGCTTTTGATGCTGAAGGGTGTGAGATTCAACAGCACGCCTCGGTTTATCCGATTGCTTACACACATTTATTAGGACCAGTTTTTCCAATTCCATTTTCTTGATACCTATGCAAGATGTGTGGTCTGAGATATGGAGCGCAGAGGAATTTGTAGCGAGTTATGTTCCAGAACAGCTGTAGCCTGGAAGCCTTGTCCTTAACTGGCACTTGGGCTGGGCCATACAAACTAGATCAAAATTGTGGCATCTGTGTTTATAACCAATACGTGTATCAGTTATTCACGGGCAGAAGAGTTTTGCAGGCACTAATGAGATGAGCAAAATGTGACACCAAGCTCAAGAACTAATTAATAGCAAGAATTCGACGAGCGTTGCGGCTGGCAGGATGCAGGAGTTTGTGTAGGTGGTTAGGCTGGAAAAATGGGATTCCTTGGGTAGAGCTTGAAACCTATGAATTGCTGAGGTAATGTAGGGGAGGGAAGGTCTTTAAAAAAAACCTCTTGGGCGATCCAAGACTATTTAGTCTTAAGCTACTCCTGGATATGTGTGTTTTCAGAAGAGTCTTTATAGTTGCGTAAACAATGACTGTGGCTTTCTGGCATCTATGCAGGGGTATTTCATCCCTAACAATGCATAGGTAGAAGTGCAGGGGTTTTATTTGTTTATTAACTAATTTGCTTGGCTAGCTGCCTAGGAAAAAAAACCCATGTGGTAATTACACAGGTGTATTTCTTTCTGTATGAAAGGAGCAGTGAGAACTGTCACTTACTAAATAATTCTGCTGAATTGATACGCTGCCTCTTTACCTGGATTTCTGCCCCTTTAAGAATGATACTGTATATGTTCATATTCCACTACTTTTAAATGATTTATATTTGCTTTCCCAAGGGAGAAGCAGGAGGTAATTGTCATAATGTTTGTGCGTTTATTTCAGAACTATATATCCCCTAAAGGAACACTGTTAGGCTTCTTTTCCCTTAACTCTGTTTATCAAAACCATGCATTTTTTTTTTTAAACACATGACTTTTGATTTCCTTTTTTTTTTTTTTTAAGTGATGGTAGTGATTATGAGTAACTTCCATAACAGACACGTAGGCATCTGACACAGAAGGAAATGCTGCAGTGGTAAGGAAACAGAATTGTAGACCTTGGACACTGGGTTAAGATGCTCTTCACTTCTCTGCAGGCTTTTAACTGTGAAGCATGATTAGTGGTAATTGAATCCTCTGTTAAATTGGATTTTATAGCATGGAAGGGACAGGCAGTTGCTTTTAAACATAATCTGAGGAAAGACTGTGTCCATGCAGGAAGAAGTTAATGCAGTTGTTCTTTAAAACGCAAAGCAGTCAGTGATGGGGACTGCGGTTCCTCTGCACGTGAGCAGAGCGTGCACCTCTTCCCCCAGCAAGCGTGGACACTGACTGCTAAAGCTCTGCGGGGGAAAGCAGGTTTCGCCATGAAACGTCACTGTCGCCATGTTCAAAATAGATGTCAAGTAATTCTTTTTGATGGTAACTGCCTGTGAGCGTGGCTGCGGCTGGTGCTGGTTTCCAGCACAGACCGGTCTGTAGGTGGAAATTCTGTTGGTGACCTTGGCCCACATGGTACGTCTGACCCTCTCTGGGATATTCAGTGCTCAGGGAGGGGAAAATGAAGATTCAGGTTTTGCAAATGTTTTGAACAGAGATGCAGTGGGCGGCTGTCCCGACCTCCGCCACCGCCGCCAGGCCCAGCCCCGCTCGGACTGGCGATGGGCTTGCTGGAACACACGCGCCGAGCCGGAGCCTTGGGCTCGCAGGCGGCTGACCTTGGCACCTGCTCGCTCTCCTTCACCCGGTGCCAGGGCTCCGGCAGGAAGGTAGCGGGGAAGCTTTTGGGGGAAGAATTCTAAGTTAATCCTCGCTGTTATTTTTTTCTGTCCTAGATCCAAGTCTGCCTCGACGTTGTTTTTCCAGACCAGCGTTCCGGTCCGTTAGCAGACCCACGCTGGAGGTTGCGCTCGGCAAGAGCAAATCAAGCAAGCAAGAGGGCTGCTGCGCCCGCGGTGAGCGAGGCGCCCCTGGGTTTCGGCGGAGCCGCGGTGACAGGGCCGCAGCAGTTTCTGGGCGCGCC